CATTCCTGCATCCTACTCCACCAGCTGCTTGGAGCTTCCCTGTATCTACAGTACAGGTACAGCTGCTGTAGGGTTTTCCTGAAGACTCCACTTGTGTCCGTCTGTCCCACCATTTTGAAGCCTACAAACTTTACATAGGAGAACTCTCCATTTGCTCCTGGAGAAGGCTTGGATATGTAACCCATGTTTTTATACCTGTAGGTACTTAATGAGAGATGCTTTTCAAGCCCCCAAAAGAAGTGAACAAACAGGGGTGACTGGTTTGTTTATCTTTACAGTTGCCTCTTAAAATATTTATTAACAAGCTGTTTCTTCTTAAGAACATCTGACTGAGACCCAAGAAGAGTTTTTAAATTCTCATTCCCTTTTCATTCTTTAGACAGTGTGACTGTTTTTCTGCTTCACTCTTCTTGGACATGGAAGCTAAGTTTGGTTGCTCCCATGTCCTGGTTTTCATGCTCTAGGAAGATGCTGTTGTGTTTGAGTTGCAAAAGCAGCCCAAGGATGCTTATGTACCAAACCAACCACCTTTTGTGTGGGCCAAACTACATGACGGGGGAATTGCTCCCATAGGCACTGAGATACTCCTTCAGTCATTGGGCTTGCCCCTGAAGGGCTTCAAGTAACTGCAGAGCATTGCACGAAGCCATCAACTGGGTACAAGTGTGTATTACAAACTTGTGCCAAGGAGGTTCCTTTTCAGTCATGTGCATCTCCCAAAACCCTGTCAGCCTCTGTTACAGGAGGCTGCTGCTTCTGTCTTGCAGCATGGAAAACAAGCACTGTACAAAGAATACCGCTCCTATCCATTACTTTATTTAAAGAGAACTTGATTACAGATAACTTATTATTTGACTGCCAGCCAGCAGAGCTCTTAATTCTAAAGCTTATTAAAAGCGTTTAGTTTGAAAAGTTAGATTTAAATAGCAAACTAAAAATGTCATATTCTGTCTCTCCCAAAGGTCAGTCAGCAACACCAGCAAGGTCAGCTTTGCCTTCTGGCTTTCAGTGTTTAGTACAATGACATCTCAGTCTTAGACTGCTGCATGGGGGTGTCCAAGAAAAGCCCATAGTATTTTAATTGAAATTGGTGGAAAAACCCAATTATATTCAACATCTTAAAATATTTACAGAGTGGAAAGGGACCTTTGCCTTGTAAAAACTGAGCCTGAAACTTAAATGAAAGACTCATGGGAAGGAAGTGAAGGTGATTCCAGAATCCCTTTGCTCTGTATGGAGTATTCTGTAGGCATGTTTAATTGGGAGTTTACATATGTGACACCCTAATCTAAGTATCCTAATCTCAGAAGGCAGCACTGTGGGCTATGCAGCCAGTGAAGCTCTGCCCACTGTAACAAAGGAAAATACAGAGGTGGAAACCTCACATGACTTACTACTTGCCAGAGTTTTGGTGCTTTACATAACTGAAGCTTCCATAGCGAGGCCTTGTATATTGACAAAAGACTAGTGCAGGGTGTGCCTTTATAATAGGGAATGGCATGCTGCAGGACTAGTGGAATTCATACCTAACTGCCAGTGAAAAAGAATGGGTTATGGGTCTGTTAAGGAGTGATCTAGTAGAAACTGAACCCTCCTTCCAGAGTAGCTGGAAGTTGCTATCCATTCATTCCCTGTAAAAATAACATGGTGCTGTTTTGCTTTGTCTGGTTGCAGGAAGTGGGGAGAACTGTCTAGGCTAAACCAGGAATGTATTAATGTCTGAAACATTATTTTTCTTGTATGTATTTTTCAGCTTTTCAGAATCCATCATCAGCAGTAAATGTGGAAGGAGAGAACTTTTGCTTTGTTTTGTTCTCCACCTTTTCCCAGATACCGGAGGATTGATTTTTTTCCTAAACAGCTTGCTGGTGTCAGACCTTCTTTGGAGAAACAGGATTGCTTAGAGTCGCACACTAACCTTCTATACAAATCTATGCATTTGTCTTAGTGCCATGTATGGGAGAGCTTACATTTACTACAGTGTTCTTTGATCAATCTTTGTAATCAAGCTTTTGAGATTTTTTTTCTTTGGCTAATAAAAGATAAACTGCGTCCTTTCCCCATCCCACTGTGAAGTGAAATTCAAGTTTTATATAAAAATTGTATCCCTCATTTGTCATTCCAGTGTCAGTACTCTGTACAGGGAGCCCATCCTGTGTCCATGCTGCTTCAGTGTTCTTCTCCAGTAGTGCTTCAACTCAGAAAACGAATTTCTTAAAGGGTCTCTGGGATCATGTTTAATTTCCCCTCTGCCTCAGGCACAGGAAAAGATGCCAGATTGTGATAGTTTTGCATTGTTCCTATTGAAGCCAGTGTAAAGTGCTACACAAGTCTCACGCTGACTTGCAGAAGGCAAGAAATACAGCTGGCCACTGTGCCATTTTGTCTCTTGCCTTACATGCTACACTGGCTCTGCGCTGCTCAGAGCCTGCCCTCAAAAACAAGCTCCACTCACCTGCTCTGCACACTCCGAGAACCATGGGTGATGCATAGGGGCACGTGCACCCCTGAGATCGGCTGTGCACTCCCTGGAAGCTCCAGCCGCGAAACAGGAAGTGCGCTTCTGGTTTTGTTGCTGGCTTGGTGATTGGTGGCTGGGGGACCTCCCCTCCCCACATTGGCAATCTGGTGCCCTCCTCCCCCCCCAACTCAGGAGGCACCAGTCGCCCATGCTGAGAGCAGAACTGAGGCAATGAGGGTGCTTCAGGGGCAGCCCTCTACAGGGCTGATAGTTCGATGATCATCTCAGGTGCAGCACTTGCTAGCACATCAAACACAAATGCATTCATTCATGCCCAGATGCACAAAAAAGCGCAGGAACCTTAAAGCGTGTACACAACTCAAATGAGGGCGCCTTACAGATGTTGAAAGAAACATCTAAAAGATCTGAATTGTGCCTGGCCTGCAGATTTAAGCCTTGGCCATTTTGTAGTCATCTTTCTCTTCCTCTGCCGTTCTGGGGTGAGATTCTGGCACTCCCTCCCTCTGCATATTGCTACATTGAAAGCTATGCCATCTACTCTAGCTCATTCCAGTCACACCCTTTGAAATTAATCTCGTCTCTGTCTAGAACTCTATTGCACGGTCAATTTTGTAAGTCAAGGTCTGTCAAGCAACTTTGACAAGATTTCTACCCCTAATCTATTTTATTGTTTGAGGGCAGTGTGATTGCCTTTCTTTCATGTTGCATTCACATAATTGTAAAGGGTTTCAAAGGTAAAAGGTGATTATAGGTAACTCGGGTCCCTCCTTCAAAAACATTCCTCACCTTTGGACAGTGCCCTGTGTTGCAATCAGGTGGATGTGCTGGAACAACTTGAATATTTCCGAGTACTGGTACAATAAATGTTTTGAAGACTGTTTTTAGCTCTTGTTCCTCATTTATCTCTTGGATTGGTAATGAGAGAGTTTCTGTTGCAAGCGGCAACTAGTTAACACGGATCAGTATACCTTATTTACCTGAATCCAAGATTACTTTGAATTTAAGATGACCTCCCAGTAATTAGATTCTATACATGGAAAATTGTTATATTTTAACTTAATTTGATCCTGTACTCCTTGATGCCTGACCCCCCACCTGGTCCAACCCTTCCCTGCTTTGTCTGTCACCGTCTACCCAACCAAGTAGCACCAGTTGTGGGTGGGGGTGGCAGGTAGCTGGCCCTCTTAACTTTGATCCTGAGCCTGGGTTGAAATGAGCTGGAGTTTCAGCAGCTGCTCCCGGGAGGGTTTCCACAGCATACATACAGGCTGGGGAGTTCCCTTCTTGAAAGCACAGAGGCGGAACAGGATCTTGGAGTCATTATTGACTCCAAGATGAACATGAGCTGCCAATGCCAGACCGCAGTCAGCAAGGCCAC